GCCTGTGGTTCTGCTGAGGTCCAATAGAAGCCCGGTTGATCATCTGTGGGTTCTGGTTCGACCCGTTAACTCAGTACCACCGTGTTCTGGTACCTGGTGGCCGTCTGGCTCCATGGAGCGGACCAGAACCAGATGGTGACCCGCTGAAGTTTCAGAACCGGACCTGACGGCATTGGTTCCGTCCCGCTTTGTTTCAGAGGAGGTGTCTGCTGCTGGAGCAGAACCGGGCCCGGCTGGAGGAGGAGGCGACCCGTCTCAGGAAGAAAATCCACTTCACCGCCAGAGAGGAGGAGCGGCGCTGGGCCCGGCAGAACCGGACCGCCTGCAGGCCCGACTCTGCAGCCCAGCAGCGGTGAGTAGAACAGAGGTTCTGCTGCGGTTCTGGAGTCCTGCTCCGGTTCTGAAGTTCTGCTTTGTCGCGGCAGCATCCAGGCCAAGCTGAAGCAGCACCAGGAGTTCTTCCCTGCCTTCCACAGCCTGATGACCCGGATCCTGGAGGTTCTGGGTGAGGATCGGACCTCGGTTCCCCCGCTGCCCCCTGCTGGCCGGCCGTGGACTAACCGGACCCCGCTGCCCCCTGCTGGCCGGCCGTGGACTAACCGGACCTCTGTGTGTTCCAGGTGTGACGCGGATGGACCAGGTCCTTCCTGCGCTGCAGACCCTGAAGCAGGCGGCGCCGTCCTCCGTCGACCCGGATCTGGTTTCCATAGCGACGCCGTCTTCATGAGCTCCTGGTTCTTCAACTACCGGTTCCCACGGCAACCAACAACGTCATCGACAGAACCAAGTGGACCGGGACGGGTTCTGTTCTAAAGGAGAACATCTGGACCACCCCATGGCTCCACCAATGGGTGGCCTCCCCTGTGGCCCCGCCCACCCCGCTGAGCTGTTAATGAGGCAGTCCCCCTGTGAGCCAGAGGGGGGCAGCAGAGAGCCGTCCTCTGGTTCTGATCCATAAACTGAACAATAAACTTTGATTCTGATCGGTTCTGGTTTCTGTTTGCTGGGGAAGAAGGAGGGTTTAGGTTCTGCTGCTTATTTATCTGATTAAAATAATAAAAAAGCAGCAATAATTAACATGTATATTATTAATAATTATCAATAACGCCTGCAGGGGCGGGAACTCTGAAATATGGCAGGCTGTTTTCAGATTTAATGAAAGCCCTCTCTGTTGTTCCATTTGTAGATCAATATTCCACTGCTAGACTGCGATAATATTATGGGATTATTTCTTTAATGGAAGCAGATCAGTGTGTCTATTTAGGTGAAATCAGCTGTGAGCAGGTAAGGATGGAGAATAAAAACCATCTAATCTGTTCATCATCTGATGTTTCCTCCTCCTCAGTTTGATTCAGTGTGTTTGCAGCCGATTCAGATGTTATCATCCCAATAAATGGCCGCTATTAGCGGCTAGCAGTCCCATAGGTTAGCTTCAGATTGTTGCTCTCTTCTATCACTCAACTTATCTGAATTAAAGTTCATTTTAAACTTCTACTGTTTTAAAAATAGGATTTAAAATCCTGTTCCACGAGTATCCTCATCCACAATTCCCGCTAAATTATCACGTTAAATGTTTACATTATTTATTGGCTGCATCTAAAAATATCAAAGATATTTTTAATTTAAACATAGATATGAAATAATATAATATAACCTACAAGAACTTAAAGTTATCATTGTACGAGGTCATCAAATCAGTTTAGTCTGTCCAATGTGTTGCCTGTAGTATCATTAAATGTCCAGCAGGTGTCAGTATTTCCTTTAAGATGCATCATTAACCTTCAGTTGTTCCCATCCAGTGAATCCTAACCCTGAAGTCATTACTTTCCCTCTGCTGAATTAATTAATCTATTGACGCGTAATCCTTAAATAATTACAGTAGTTCTTCTAAGTATGGAGGACCAATCCAGCCGTCATTGAAAATACATACAGAATAAATAAAAACATACAAAAAGAATTGAAGGCCTTAATAATTAATGATATAAAATTCCTTGAAAAAGAAGCAAATATGAATTTGTGTGACATTAAATGTGACAAAATAATTAAAAATCTGATATTTCTTTAACAACTGATCAAATATAAGGAGATTACTTTTTCAAGCAATTTTATATTATTAATTATTAAGTCCATTTATTTCTGTATGAATTTCTAATGAAGGCATGATTGGTCCTCCACAGTCGTCCTACAATTATTCATCTAAAGATATATTTTATCTTCCACCTTTATTCTTACTTTTCTTACAAAACAAAAGATTTCAGGAAAATGTATAACAGGATATAAAATAAGTTGGCTTAAATGCAAGAAGAATATATTTTTAGATGAATAATCCATCAATTGTTGAAGAGAGTTTAATACAAGTACAGAAATACATTGATTTTATTAATATAAAATGCCTTGAAAAGGTATTTTCAATTATGGCAGCATTGGTCCTCCATATTTATTAGCTACTTTTTCAAGCGATTTAATGTTATTAATTATTAAGTCTTTCATTTATTTCTGTATGTATTTTTAATCATGGCAGGATTGTATTGAGTATGGAGGACCAATCCAGCCATAATTAAAAATAATTACACAATTGAAGGGCTTAATATTAATTAATAATATAAAAGTAATAATAGAAAATTGCTTGAATATATATGTCTTTATGGCAGAAATCTGTTTGACGTTAAATGTCACACAGATTTATAATATTAGCTACTTTTCCAAACAATTTTATATAATTAATGATTAAGTCCTTCATTTCTTCCTGTATTTCTAATCGTGGCAGGACTGGTCCTCCATAGCAGCAGCTCTCCTTCACCTTATTTGGTCAGAGCGGAAGCGCCGCGTTGCTAGGAGGCAGAGAACGCTTAGATCGAGCCGCCGCCTTCATCTCCAGGCTCGGAGGCGCGCGGCAGAGCGCGGGAGGAAAGGCTCCGCTCCGACAGGACCAACCAGGTGAGCTGCCGCGATGACGCAGCCGCACGCGCCCAGGTGCAGCAGGCAGCGCGAGGCTCCAGTTGCGGAAATGACAGGAGGAAAGTTCCGCGTTCCTTCAGAGCAGGGAGAGAGCCGCCGGACGAGGACGGAGGAAGGGGGACAGCTGGCTCAGGGGGGGGGACAGCGCTCTGACGTCATGGGGAACTCTGGGAGCCTGGAGCTGCTCAGGAGGGGCTCCGGGAGGGGCTCCAGGAGGGGCTCCAGGAGCCGCAGAGATGTTCCACAGATCACAGTGATCCAGGCGTCACCGCTCCCTCAGGACGGGAGCGTCTTCGTCCTGCCTGGACCTGAGGAGCCGCAGGGCCCTGAGGTGGAACCTGAGGGCCCCCAGGGCCCGGTGGAACCACAGGAACCTGAGGGCCCGGCGGAGGCGGAACCAGGGGGTTCTCAGCAGAGCCTCCTGTCCACAGAGGACCAGGAGGACGCGTCCAGCAGCGAGGGCGGCTGCAGTCCCAGGGCCAGCCGGGAGCACTTCCTCCAGGTGATGATGAGGCGTTCTCCTGACGTCAGGAGGAGCCTGGTGCTCCGTTCCGCCGGCGAGGCCCCCAGGACAGACCTGGACTCACAGGACGAGGAACGGCTGGCGGTGACCCTTGACCCCCTGGAGCACGAGTGGATGCTGTGCGCCTCCGACGGGGAGTGGGCCGGCCTGCAGCGCCTGCTGGCGGCCGAGCCGGGCCTGCTTCTGAAGAAGGACTTTGTGAGCGGCTTCACCTGCCTGCACTGGGCCGCCAAGCACAACAACCCCGAGATGATGGCGCTCATCGTCAACTTCGCCAAGCAGCACCGGCTGCCCCTCGCCGTGGACGTCCGCTCCAACATGGGCTACACGCCGCTGCACCTGGCCGCCATCCACGGCCACATGGAGGTGGTGAAGCTCCTGGTGGGGGCCTACGGCGCCGACGTGGACGCCAGGGACTACAGCGGCCGGAAGGCCTGCCAGTACCTCACCCACGACGCCGGCGCCGACATCCGGGACATCGTAGGAGATTACGAGCTCTCCGTGTCTGAGGGGGCGGAGCCTAAAGAGGGAGGCCGCTGGAGGTTCTCCAAAGCCCTCCAGAACATGGACGGCGAGGCGGCGGGCGCCGAGGGCCGCCTCCGGGTCAAACCGCTGCGCAGGAGGTCCTCGCTGAGCCGCATGAAGCCCAACCTGCAGAAGATCCGCCTGAGGGCGTCCCACATCGTCCACAGGGCCTCCTTCAGGGACCCGGACGGACCCCAGGGGAGGCCCCCCAGGCCCAAAACACACTTCTTAGGCTGAGCCCCCGGCGCTGCACACTGCCGCTCAGCTGGCTGAAACACAGGGAGCAGCAGACTCTGATGGAGGCTTCTGGCTTTCTGTTTCCTAGAGACCGGCTAGCTAAGGGGGGGGGTTCTGGTTCTGTTTGGACCCGTCAGCCGCGGCGCTCCGGTTCTCCCATCTCAGCATGAAGCAACAGGAATCCGCGGCATGCTGCTTCATGCTTGGCGCCGCACACATTCCCCACATTCCTCACAATCAGACGCTCACCTTTCCACCGCCAACACCCAGCCTCCAGAACCAAGCAGAACCTCCTCTAACAGAACCATCAACCCAAGGCTGTAGGTCTGAACTCTGGTAGGGACGCTATTGGCCGGGTGTCATTGGTGCTATGCCATATGCCCTTTGTTATGCTGGATGTGAGATTAGAGGAATTCATTGTTTAAAGAGAAAAGCAGCATTTTGCTGTCTGTCAATATTCTCCATCCAGAACTCCTCATGTGGAAACATTTTAGTTTCACCTGAAGGGCAGCTGCTTCACCTACAAGCTGCCCTGCATCATTATTACTGCATATCTGTTTCCTATAATCATATAATGTATAAGTGCGTTTTATTAGTAAAGGATTAAATGTAACTCAACCTTTTATCATCGTCCTATATTGCTTACTGTCTGACTGTTTAAATAGCTCCGTATGTCTGTTTTCTTTTTTAGTGGCATCATCTATAAAGCAAAACACTGAGAATGAGCCTGAGTTTATTCAAATCTAAAATCACTTTTAACAATTATAAAGACAATATAACACTATCTTATCTGTAATGTAATAATATCCTAAATAAACAGCCAGTTTCCAGCATTATTTACCAGACATTAATGTTTG